TTATGGGACTACTGTGTGTTAGAGCTAGGACTTAATTCCAGCTAACTTCCAATTCCGGTGTTTGTTTTTTTCCTGCCTTTGGTGTTTTTTTTTTTTTTTTTTTTTGCCTCTCAGTTGGATGAGTTTTGTAAATTGAGGTTCGTCCTAAGGGTTGAGGGAGCCAAAGCCAATGGTAAATATTTAGGTTCTGTAATATTAAAAGAAAAAAGCCATGGTTTCCTTTCATTTTAGAAAAGCAGAAATCAGAAGAAATTTCCCCATATTTACTTAAAGGATTGCCTGAGTCTTGGTTTTTCTTTTAAAAAAAATGTGTTTTCATAATACTTTATCTTTTTCACATTTCCTTCTATAAAAACCATTTAAAATTTTTTTATTCTTGGACTATTATTATGTCATTTTTTCATGCCAATATTGTATTAGTTAACTCAGAAAACTTCTAAATTCTTCCAGCTACAGATGACCCTCCCCGACCTACCTTTGACTCCTTGCTTTCTCGGGACATGGCCGGGTACATGCCAGCTCGAGCAGATTTCATTGAGGTAGGATAACTGTGTTTTTAGTACAAAGTAGGAAAAATTTGTTTGTATTTCTCATGAGCCTTCTATCTCACCCATAGATTCCATACCACTAAAAGGAGATTTTTAAAAGCACTATAATTTGTAGGACCTTTAGGCAGCCACATTTTCTTACATTTGAGTGCCTTTTCTCACTTGTAAACATTTTCACATATGGAAGAGGAAAAATTCTTTAAACAAACAGCCTATTTCTGGCCGGGCACAGTGGCTTACACCTGTAATCCCAGCACTTTGGGAACTGAGAATGGAGGATCGCTTGAGTCCAGGTGTTCGAGACTAGCCTGGGCAACGTAGTGAGACCTTGTCTCTACAAAAAATAAAAAATTAGCTGGGTGTGGTGGTACATGCCTGTAGTCCTAACTACTTGGGAGGCTGATACAGGAGGATCACTTAAGCCTGGGAGGTTAAGGCTGCAGTGAGTGGTGATCATTCCACTAAACTGCACCCTAGGCAACAGAGTGAGACCTTGTCTCCAAGAAAAGCCCCAGAAAATCCATTTCTTAAGTTGCATCTGCTGGCTTCTACTTCCTTAGGTATGAAATTCCTGTAGTCTGGTTCTTTTTTTTTTTTTTTTT